TCTGAGATGATCAAAATCGGGATGTAGGGCACGAAGGATCAACACCATGTAAAATTTGTCTAGTTTCTTTTTGATATCCTCTAATGGATCTACTTCCAAAAACATCCTAAGTTCTTCGACAGCAGATTGGGCTTCAGCCATGAAGGACACCATATCATGGTCTGCCATTTTAAGAGATGCAAGCTTGTTCGTAGTGTCATAGAGACGTTGAATATCGTTGGCATAAATGCTTTGGGCTTTCTTCCAAAAGGAGTGACAAGTTTTGAAAGCCCTCAAAGATACAAGAAGTTTGGGTTCCACTGATTGCCATAACAGGACACACAACTGGAAATCTGCTTGTTTCCACTGATCAGCTTTTTCAGTAGGCACATGGCTTCCATCTCGCTCAAGGTGGTCATAATGTCGTTGGCCAAGGAACCACATTTCAACGGCAGTAGACCATGATAGATAATTTTTTCCATTTAGCTTCTCGGAGGTAATTGATCGGCTTCCGGAGAAGGAAAGAGTACTGCCAGACGCCATTTCTGAAGAAGACGAATAGTACCAGCGAGGAACAAGAAAACCCTAAGGCTTTAGAAGAACAGAATTGTGATAGCGATGGACGACGGTGGTCGGCGGCGAACTGTGGCCGGACGGTGGCCGAGGACGGGCGATGGTGGCTGGCGGCGAACGGTGGCCAACGACGGGCAGCGGCAGACGGTGGTGGGCGGCGACGGATTGTGGCATCGGACAGATATTACGAGACAGAAACCAGAGCGGGATCGACCCGCTCTGATACCAACTTGAGAATTAAACTGTAAAATAATTGTAGAGGACTTAATTGATCCCTCTCACGATCTTCTATTTATAAGAATAAATTGATACAAAAGTACATGATAAATAGGGTAACCCTAGACACAATATAATCATGATAAATAGGGTAATCCTAGACACAATATAATTATGATAAATAAGGTAACCCTTGACACAATATAATCATGATAAAATAGGATAAATATCCTAACATATATAATAGGGCAGCTCATTTTTGTAAGGGATGCATGCACCCCTCAGTTTTGTTGTGGAGGCACATTCAAGGAAGGCACCGCAATACATACCTGTTCTGAGGTGGACTCCTCCAAGTTTCTTTGGGTGAAATGTAACACAAATGGTGCTGCAGAAGGGACACCATAAAGAGTATGGTGTGGTGGAATTTTTAGAGACTAAAGATCTACTATCATTCGATGATTATCGGCTTTTCTAGGAGTTTAGGATGCTTTATATGCAGGGGCAATGGTGTAGTCATTGCTATGGAAATGGCTTTCCCTAAAGGTCAGAGCAAACTATGGATTTAGTGTGACTCAGTTAGTCTACAAATTAATTCCATGGCATATTAGATATAGAAGGATTAATTGTATGGAGAAAAGTATAGACGTCAATTTATATTTTACGCACATATATAGGGAATGTAACTGATATGCTGATAGGCTTGCTAATTATGGTGCAAACTAAGGGTTAAAGTTGGTTGGATAACATAGCAACATTTATTTCTCCAGAAACTTTTAGAGATAGGTTTAAGTTACCATATTACCGTATTATTTTCTTGTTTTAATGTGATTTTGAGATATTGCACATGACTGATGTTAGTGGGGCCAACATAATTGGGATGGCAAACAACATAGTGATACTTTTGCACCTCCATTTTAGTTAAAACAACGTTTTAATTTGTTTGTGTTAAAAGTGGGAAAATTATAAGAGGTTGGACAAATGAGACAGCAAGACTTGAGAATTTTGACACTGTCCATACAAAAAAAAAAAATTAAAATAAAAAAAAGAGGATTAACGCATCAAAGCATACCTAAATATCCCTTCAATTTGCAATATTCTGTCTCCAGTTTCAAGAAGGCCACGTAAAGTGCTGACAATGGGAAGACCAGCCCCAACCGTAGCTTCATAGAAGTAGTGTGTGTAGGATTGCCTTTGAAGAGCTCTTAACCTCAAATACTGGATACAGAGAACAATGGTATGAAAATTTTCCAGAGATAGTAATAAGTAGGCTACAAAGTAATCATCATTAGAAGCAGTATAGGTACTAGCAAAAGCTGCTCAAGCTTAAAGAAAGCACTTCCACAATAAACAAAAACTATTAAAACATATACTCAAAGTACTTGTTCAACCAGAAGAACATGATCATAATCCATTGCCTATTGTTGATTGCTCTAGCAGTTTTATACTGACCATAAATGATGGCAAACACCCCAGCCATGGCCAGCGCGTACAAGAAGAGTGGGCCTCAACTGAGCTTTGTGAGCCTCAGTTGAGTTGAGTGGGTCCAAGCTCTTTTTCTCATGGGCCAATAATAATTGTAAATAAGTAGAATAGGTTTACTTTGGAGCTTGTATTTTGGGCCAAGTAGTGCATGATTTGTTGGTCTTATATTGGGCCTTGTTTTAGGCTTTGGACCTAGTAGTGTAGTTTTTTGGCCTAGGTTTAAGATTTGTGTCTAATTGTAATAACAGTGAGTGGGCGGGAAAAAGGAGCCTATAAAAAGGGCTGAGAAACTCTTGTAAGAGTTTAGTTTTGTAATTCATTTGTATAGACCGGACACATTTATCCTGTGGAGGGGGAATTGCTCCCTTGGAGGCTTTGAGTGTACAGATTGGCATAATAATAGCAGAATTATGCAGTTTTCTATCTCTTACCTCTGGTGTGGTGTGTGTGAGTGAGGACATTAGATAGATTTCTTACGAAGAAACCTATCAAACTGTAAGACACTTGTGCAATTCGTTATTGGAGTTTAGTTAAATCTGGTTTAGAGATAAAAAATAAGAGTGAGAAAATTGTTTCAATCTGAAACTATGTGAGTCATTATAAAGTGTGTACATCTCATAATAAAACTGAGTAGCACGCCATGAAAAAAGTCTTATATGTAGTACTTATAAAATCCTATATAGTCTTGTATTAGCTTACTCTGACTAAGAAAGAGGATTTAAGTCTAATTCAAACTTACAGGACATGTTATAAGTAGGTCATATATCTAGTCAATGTCAAATCTCCAACACACTAGTAACACCGAAAATTAGACTTCACAAACGTGGAACAAGATATTTGTGGATGGTCCTCCTCATTAGGATTGATTTTATACTATCTTAGAAAGTGAATTTAGTTTAGATAAGTAAAAGATACTATATTTTAGAGAGCTTAATCACTCCTCTAATCCAATGAGTAGAGGTAAGAGCAAAGATCAACACTAGAGTCAAAGGTAAAGAGATAGGTACAACTCAAGTACAATATATAGTATTTTCAGGAACAACTACTTTCTACCTATATTTAATCCCTATTCTAACACTCTTCCTCAAGTTTGAGTATACAAATTGTATATACCAAGCTGGAGCATACAGATTTTATGTAACAACCTTGGAACAAATAAACTTAATCTGAGGTCTCCTTAATGACTTGGTCAACACATCTGTGAGTTGGTAATTTGATCCAACAAACTCGGTACATATTTCTTTTGTCAACAACTTTTCACAAACTAAATGACAATCAATCTCTATACGTTTAGTTCCCTCGTGAAACACTGAATTTGATGCAATGTGGAGAGCAACTTTGTTATTGCAATACATCTTCATAGTCTGGATGAAGCCAAGCTCTTGAAGTAACTGCTTTACCCATATAAGTTCACATGTTAGTGATGTCATTTCCCTGTATTCAGCTTTAGCGGTTGATCGAGTTACTACATTATGTTTCTTACTTTTCCATGAAATAATGTTTTCTCCAAAGAAAACACAATATCCAATAGTAGATCGCCTGCCAATAGGTGAACCTGCCCAATCTGCATCACACAACCAAGAAACCTGAATGCTCCCTTTATCTAGGAGTTGTCTAGGAGTTGTTATTATGCTTCCTAAAATAGCTCCCTAGCCTGGTATATATGGATTGTACTCTCAGCATAATAATAATATAAGATTTTACCCTAAATTCTGAGAATCAGGCCTTGTAATAATGAGATAAATCAATTTTTCAATCAGCCTCCTATATCTCTCTGGATCGGGGAATAACTCACCTTCTTTTGCCGTTAATTTTTTATTTGAGTCCGTAGGACTGTCTACCGGTTTACAATAAATCATGCTTGTTTCTTGTAAAATATCAACAGCATGCTTCCTTTGGAAGATTACAACTCCATCTTTTGATTGAGCTACTTCAATGCCTAAGATTTGAGGCTTCCCAGATCCTTGGTTTGAAAATGTCTACATAAGTACTCTTTCAGTTGAGATATTCCAGCAGTATCATTTCTTGTAATAATTATATCATCAACATATACTATTAAGTAAACACATTTTCCAAGAGATGTATGACAATAAAAGACCGAATGATCTGTTTCACTCCGTTTTAGCCCAAAATTTTGAACAATGGAGCTGAATTTTCCAAACCAAGCACGCAATGATTGCTCGACGCCATATAGAGATTGGTGCAATTTCCAGACCATTCCAGACTCTCCCATAGCAACAAACCCAGGAGGTTGCTCCAAATAAACTTCTTCCTCAAGATCACCATGTAGGAAGGCATTCTTGATATCCAATTGATGAAGTGACCAGTGATGAATTGCGGACATTGTAAAGAAGAGACAAATGGTACTCATCTTGGCCATGGGAGTGAAAGTGTCACAGTAATCAAGGCCATAAACCTAAGTGTACCCTTTGGCAACTAACCGAGCTTTGAGCCGAACAAGTTCAGCATCAATGCTGACTTTCATTGCATACACCCATCGACAACCAACATCCTCTTTGCCCGGGGAAGGGGCATACGAGCTTCGAAGTATTACTATGGTCAAGAGCTTGCATTTCTGCAGTCATGGTTTGTCGTCATCTAGGATGATCAAGTACTTCTTTCACATTCTTGGGTATGAGAACAGAAGACATTGAGGATAAAAGAGAAAAATAGGGGTCGACAATTGATGATAGCTAAGAAAATTATAAATGGGATGAGGGTTTCGAGTGGAACGAGTATTTTTTCTGAAGGCAATAGGCCATGCTGAATCATCTTCACCAGGAAGCATGGTAGGAGGTGGCGGGGGCAATGGAGAAGAATTTGAAGGAGGAGATTCACCCTTTTCTAGGAGGAGTGGATTATCCATCAGGGTCCTATGTCGGAAGATATCATATGTGGAGAGGAGGGTTCGGAAGGACGTCGATCAAGACTTGGATTAACAGACACATTAGAGATATTGGACTCAGCCACTAGAATAGGAAGGACTTGCTGGAGGATATGAACATCTTGTACAGATGGAGAGAAGTAAGGAGTTTGTTCAAAGAATGTAACATTGGCAGACATGTAATACTTCTTGGTTTCAGGAGAGTAACATCGGTACCCTTTTTGAAGCCAAGAATAGCCCAAAAAGACACATTTGATAGTACGAGCGAAAAGCTTGTCTAGCCCTGGAGACATGTCATGAAAAAAACAAACAACCAAAAACCCGAAGAGAGATGTGAAAGAGAGGATCATTTGCAAAAAGAATGGAGAAAGAGACTTTATGATTGAGAGAGGAGGAGGACATCCTATTAATAAGAAAACATGCAGTTAAGAAGTCATCCCCAGTGATGGACAGGAATATGGGCACCAAGCAAAAGGGTACGAGCAATTTCAACCAAGTGTTTATTATTCCTTTCTGCTATACCATTTTGTTGTGGTGTATGAAGACAGGTGGACTGATGTAATATACCATCGGAACTCAAGATTGCAGAAAAATTGGATGAGAAGTACTCTTTGGCATTGTCCCGTCTTAAGATTTTGATTACTTTACCAAATTGGTTCTTAATTTCATTCAAAAAGGATGTGAGGATGAATAACAATTCAGAACGATCTTTCACTAGATAAACCCAAATACATCTGGAATACTCATTAATAAACGTAACAAAATACCTAAAACCAAAAAGAGAAGACGCGACTAGGTCCCTAGATATCAAAATGGATAATAGAAAAACTAAAATTACACATTGATTGAGATCTTTTAGAAAAGGTAGATCTAACATATTTTCCTAGTTGACATGACTCACATTATAAGGTCTGGAGACCACTAAGTTCAGGACACATCTTTTTTAATTTGGACAAATGAGGATGGCCAAAACGATCATGTAACATTTTCGAACTAAGAGTTGCAACACAAGACACCCATGGACAAGATCCAAAATAGTATAACCCTCCGACTTCATATCCTTCTCCAATCTGTCTCCCCGAGCCATGCTCCTGTACAGAAAAAGATTTTGAATCGAAAGTTCTTGAACAATTCATAATTATGCTTAGCTGGCTTAAGGAAATTAAATTGAAGGGACAAAAAGGACAAATTTCAAATCTAGAGAGGGAGAAAGGGAGACTTGACCGACTCTCTTTGAGCAAGTTTTGGAAGCATTTGCAAGGGTGATGAAATGAGGTTTTTCTTTAAAGAAAAGGTTGAGAACAAGCAGGTATTACCAGAGATGTGACCAGAAGCACCCAAGTCAATTACCTATGAATTTTGACCTCCCATGGATTGAGAAATGCAATTGTGGATGTACTAGGAGATTGCGATGTTTGTGCCACTATTAGACTTTAATCAGAGATACTCTTTATACTCTTCCTTAGTGAACTTGGAGTTGGTAGAGGTAGTTTCATCCCTAGAGATGTTGGTTGTTTTTTAGGGAAAACCATGCAAGGAGTAGCAGTTTTCTTGGGTGTGACCCACCTATGTGCACTGCGGACGCCCCCGGCCTCCACATCCTCCTCCTCTAGTGCCACGTCCTCCCCATCCACATGGCCACAATAACAAATGGTTCCATTGGTTCGAGAGCTTCCTGAGATTGAGGCACTGGGACATGAAGCAGGCATGTGGTAAAGGTTTCCATGGATGGAACCTCATGACTGGTCAGAAGTTGATCTCTAATATGAACAAAGTCTGGATGTAGAGCACGAAGGATCATCACCATGTAATATTTATCATGTTTTTTCTTGATGTCTTCTAAGGATTCAACTTCTAAGAACATTCTCAGCTCTTCCAGAGTTGCTTGAGCTTCAGTCATGAAGGAAACCATATCATGCAAGCTTGTTGAATATCATTAGCATAGATGTTTTGAGCATTCTTCCAGAAAACAGTGACATGTTTTGAAAGCTTTAAGAGAAATCAGCAGCTGAGGTGCCACGGATTGCCACAACAATGCACATAATTGGTAATCTCCTTGTTTCAATTGTTCAGCTTTTTCAGCAAGCACCTAGCTTCCATCTTGCTCAAGGTGGTCATAAAGTCCTTGGTCAAGGAACCACATTTCAATGGCAGCAAACCAAGATAGATCACTTTTTCCATTTAGCTTTTCAAAAGTACATTTAGCTTTTCAAAAGTAATTGAGGGACTTCTGGAGAATGAAAGAGCATTGCCAGATGCAAATTCTGAAGAAGAAGGAATAGCAACAGTAAGAAGCTAGAAAACCCTAAGGGTGTTCTTCAAGGGGAGCTTCTGAACTTTATCGAAGTAAAGTTTTGAGGGTCATAACAAATCAAGGAAGGATTGGCGACCACTATGGAGAAGCCACGGTGGCGTTTCGACGAGCAAAGGGTTGTGCATGAATAGTATAGGCATGTTCGCGACGCACAAAGATGATGTACGCGGCAGTGCGTGGAGGGGAATTGGACCCCGGCATCGGCGGGGGTGGTCGTCGCCCAGAGAGACAAACCAGATCCGGAGGTCACCAGATGAAAGTGTGACGGCGGATGGCGGCGGACCACAGCAAACGATGGCGGACAACAACGAAACAATGGAGAACAGTGGCTGAAGGTGTTGAATGGCTTCAAACTACAGTGGACAATTGTAGATAGAGACTGGACAACTGCGGACAGTGGCAAACGGCACTGGACAGATGTAGATAGCAGTAACTAGTGCTAGTGGATGAGACGAGACAGAAATCAAAGTGAGATCGACCCACTCTCATACCAACTTGAGATTAGAACGGAAAATATATTTCTAAAGGGCTTAGAAGATCCCTCTCACTTTCTTCTATGTATAATGAAAATATAAGAGTACATAGAATGGAAAGAGACTACACTAGGCTCTTAAGTGCAAAACTAGCTACAACTAATAAATGATATCTAGGACTACTACACCCTTCCTAGGCTTAAAGATCATAAATAGATATAATTATTCTAACAGTTGCAAAGTGAATACACCCATTTATATATTAAAATTTGGTCATATATTTAATTAATGTAAGATCAACAATAATCTTGCACTAACCAAACTACCACTTTGATAATTAGCCAAACTGAAAATGCGACTCAGCTAATAATAGAGTATGTGTAACCTTATATTACCTTATGTTGATATAGCATATGTTGGACAGAAAAACAACACTTTAATATGATATTATCAAATAAGATAGTGGGAAAAATAATATTTTGGTTTTAAAAAAGGAAAAGAAAAATTATAGGACGGCTGCCAGTCAATGGAGATGTCTAAAATGGTAGAAATAACAATAAAAGCAGGCTACAAAAATTCCTTAATATTGATTATAGTCTAGCCAAAACAAAACACAAACAAGAAATTCACGTTTCCTATAAATGATTTATTCTCTAACTTAAAAAAATAGAAATTAAATTAATTCAAATTGGAATTTCCAAATGCAGCAGTGTACTTGCAGAAAACATTGGCTTGTACAGTCAAAAACCTACGGCATTGATTACACGAGATAAATCAATAATAGACACTACCCATCCATAGGACAATGTGCAGTTCTTTACCTGCTCAAGTGGCCCTGAATTTGCTTTCTTGTTAGGAGTAACTACATGTATTCCTTTGCGCAACCACTCATAGTAATAGCCAGCAATGACAGAATCAGCTGTGCAGTCGACTAGTGCCGTGTTGGGTATAAAATTATTTCCATGTACATGTTGAACAAATTTTTCCAAATCAGCCGCTTCTCCTCTTTCCTCTCGAAGTTCTCTCCATCTAGTTAAGTCAATGCCCCTGCAAAGAGCAATACCAATATATAATGATTGAACAAAAACAAACTTAGTCAATAATGTACAGATAAAAGGTAAAAGAAAAAATAGCTCCATCTCGGATTTATAATACTTCTTTAAGAACAGAAAACAAACATGTGATAATCCAACAACATTTGTGTGAAATTTACACAATTTCTGTCAAAATATATTTTAGGAAACTCTAAATATCATTCCCATGTATTTAATTTGTTATACTCTCTGTATCTTGCTATTATTACTAGAATAATAATCTCATAGGGATTTGTTCCGTAGAATAGGTTGCTCATTCAATAAGCTCTTGTATATATATCCAATGCATGTAAGGAGACAAATAATAAAAAACATATTCTCTTCTAAATTTAAGATGGTATCAGAGCTCCCGATCCTTGGGAGCCTCTAACAGTGTGATTTGATTGCAGCCTTCATTGTTTCCCAACCCTAGAGTTCCATCACAGCCTTCATTGCTGCCCAATCCTAGAGTTCCATCACAGCCTTCATTGCTGCTCAACCTTAGAGTTCCATCACAGCCTCATTGCTGCCCAACCCTAGAGTTTCATCACAACCTTCATTGTTTCCCAACCCTAGAGTTTCATCACAACCTTCATTCCTGCGTGATCTCAAACACTCATCATCAGTCTTTGTTTTTGTGCCTTAATTGCACATTTTTGTAATGGCTGAAATGGAAAATGTAGACAAGTTCTAGTGTACAGGAGAATTGCATAATGTTCATTCAGCTTAACGATTGAATGGAAAAAATTATCTTAAATGGTCTCAACTCATTAAGACCATTTTAAAAGGGAAAGGAAAGGTCAGTCATCTCACTGATGATGCTCCTACGGAAGAAAATGGCAAATTCAAGTCATGGGATGAAGATTACTCCATGATCATGGCATGGCTATGGAACTCAATGGTTCTGGAAATTAGCGATACATGCATGTTCCTCACTTCTGCAGAGGCTATATGGATTGCAATACAGCAAACCTACTCTAAGGCAAAGGATGTCGTCCAAATTTATGAGGTGAAAGTAAAAACAATGCAGCCAAACAAGGCACTACAACTGTCACGGAGTATGCTAATCAACTCAAATCATTATAGGGTCATAAAGGCTAAGTGTTCTTCAGCAATTCCAAGAGAATACATTGAACAAGATCGGGTGTATGATTTCTTGGTAGGCCTAAACCAAGACTATGATCAAGTCAAAATCCAAATATTAGGCAAAGAGAAGGTTCCTAGACTCAATGAAGTAATGGCAATTATTCGGAGTGAAGAAAGCAAGAGTCTAATGCTAGAGACCTCAATTGCAGATAATTTAGCTGTGATTGTTGAAGCAGTAATAGCCATGGTTGCAGAACAAAAAAAGTAGGTCCTCTTCCAAGAATAGAGAAGAAAAATGAAGGAGTTTGGTGCACCTATTGCAACAAGTCACGTGACACAAGGCATAAGTGTTGGAAGTTACATGGAAAACCTCAAAACAAAGATTGGGACACAAAGGAGGCCTTCAAAGGAGAACGGGGCAAGCTCATGTTGTTGCTGGTCTTGAAAGTCAAGCAAGAGTTGTACAACTCAACCATGAGGAGTTAGAAACAGTAAGGTCCTTTCTTAATAAATTGGAAAAACCCACAGGTAAGTGTTCGTTGACATACTCTGGTAAGTTCCCATTTTCTTGTGGATTTAATGTCTCAAATACCCTACTTACCCATTATTAGATACTAGACTCTAGAGCCACAGACCATATGACACCATTCCCTAAACACTTCTCCACATATTCCCCATGTCCTAGCAGTAAGAAAATTTCTACAGTTGATGGAACCCTCGTAACTGCAACTGGACAAGGAGATGTCCAAATAACCCCAACCATAATACTAAAAAATGTTCTTCATGTCCCTAAGTTATCCACAAGTCTGGTTTATACAAAAACATACCAAGGACCTCTTGTGATAGGAGCTAGAAAGTTTATGAGAGAAGAAAGAAACGAACGGCTAAGGGCGACGGGGAAGGAGCCGAACGGTTAAAAGCAACAGGGATCGATCGGTCACATGCATGGAGAGCAGCAGGGACCATCGATCACATGCAGGGGGAGCAAAAGGGACCAAGCGGTCACATGTAGGGGGAGCAGCAAGGACCGATTGTTCACATGCAGGGGGTGCAGCAGGGAACGATCGGTCACATGCAGGAGGAGCAACAGGGAACAAGCGGTCAAATAAGGTGGGAGCATAAGGTGAATGCCAAACGGCTGAGGGAGAGGGGGAAGGAGTCGTTTGGTGGAACAAGAGACTTTCGGTTGAACAATGGAAAGCATAACGGTATTAACGGTTTTGGGTGGAAAGAACCTATTATAAATAGAATAATCGTCAGTCTGTTGGATTAGGTTATATTTTACTCGTATAGTCAGGGCATTGGCTTGAGGAGGGGGATTAGGCTCCCGTAGTTATCCATACTTACATCCATACTTGTATATTGACTTTCGATACTGTTAATGTGCAAATAAATCAATCCGTTTCATTCATTCTTCTGCTTTGTGTTCTTGTGTGATTCGCGAGAGAAGGAAATTAGGTTTTCGATTACAGAAACCTAACATCTTATGTAATGTAGTTTTTCACAACAACTCTTGTATATTGCAGGACAACACACCCAAAGTTTCTAGATAGAAGGTTATTTGTATGGATTATATGTGGGTAGAATGAGTTTAAGACTTCAATGGGGCTTTTTGAGGATAAAACAGTAGAAGGTAATCTATTAATCAAGTAGCATTGAGAATAGCTTCCCCCAAAATCTTTTTGGAACATTATTCTGAAAAATAAGTGCCCATTTTTCCTGTCTACAATCCCATTTATTGGGTTGTGTTTACACATAAGGATTCATGAATTATTCCTTCCTTTTGACAAAAAGAATTTAGAGTATGATTAAAGTAATCTTTGGCATTATCAAACCTAATTATTTTTATATTAACCCCAAATTGATTTTTAATCAATGAAACAAACTATAGAAAAAAAAAGTTAACCTCAAATTTGTGAAGGAAAAGCCATGTTACACTTGTGCAATCATCTATAAAGGTTATAAACCATTTAGCCCCTGAAGTACTAGGAATATTAGAGGAACCTCACACATCCATATGAACAAGATAAAATGGAGAATTGCTTACTTTATTGCTCATAGGAAAAGGTACACGCATGTGTTTGGCAAGCTCACACACCTCACAAAGAAGATCTTCTAGATTTAAACTTTTAAAGAAGGAAATATTAACTTTATGACCCGAAATGAAGGATGTCCCAAACGACAATGAAACAATTGGATTTTTTTTCTTCATTGGCCATGAAGGATTCAAATATTAGAGAGTGACTCTCAATGGGCATACTCAAATCTTCCATGTAGTAAAGGTCATTCCATTCTCTAGCATGTCCAAGATCTACTCATGTTCAAGAATCCAACCCTACAACATTATCTGAGGTAATTCCTTTTGTTCTTATAAATTCTAACTCTACTGCTTGTGATGAATTTCCTTCTAAAAAACCAGTTGAGCAGATAGATCATAATTTAGACCTCTCAATTGCTCTTAGAAAAGGAATCAGAACATGCACCAAACAACAACCTTACACCTTGACAAATTATCTATCCTTTGAAAAATTCTCACCTACCATAAAAGCTTTATCACAAGCCTAAACACCACAACTACACCTTCTGTATCTGAGGCATTAATTGAAAAAAAATTGGAAACAAGCCATGGACTTGGAGATGGAGGCATTGGAGAAAAACAATACTCAGCAACTAGACTCCCTACCACCTAGAAAAAGGGTCGTTGGGTGCAAGTGGGTTTATACAGTGAAGTACAAGGCTGATGGGACTATTAAGGGGTATAAGGCAAGGTTGGTGGCCAAGGGATTCACCCAAACATATGGAGTGGATTACTTAGAGACTTTTGCACCAGTTGCCAAAATTAACAAGGTTGGAGTAATTTTGTCGTTGGCAGCAAACTACAATTGGGAACTGCAACAATTTGATGTAAAATATGCATTCCATTATGGGGATCTTGAAGAAGAAATTATCATGGAGATACCACCCGGTATAAGGGACAGATTGAAGCCAACACAGTTTGCAAATTAAAAAAGGCATTATATGGGTTGAAACTGTCACCTAGAGCATAGTCTGGGAGATTCACCAAAGTTATTACAAGTCTTAAATACAAACAGGGCCAAGGGAACCACACTTTATTAATAAAGCATTCTGATTCAAGGGGAGCAACAATACTATTGGTTTATGTGGATGATATAATTATTACTGGGAATGATAAAAAGGAACAACAAAGGTTGAGCCAATGCCTTGCAAGGAATTCGAAATCAAGACTTTAGGGAAGCTAAAATATTTTCTTGGTGATTGAAGTAGCCCATTCCAAGAAATGAATCTTCATATCCCATCAAAAATATATCATTGATTTGCTATAGGAAACCGATAAAACAGCCTGCAAATCAACAAGTACACCTGTTGATCCAATTATAAAGTTGGGAAGTGCACAGGAGGATGTTTATGTGGATAAAGAAATGTACCAAAGACTTATAGGAAGACTCATTTACCTATCTCACACTAGGCTAGATATTTCCTTTGTTTGACCTTAGTTAGAAAATTTATGCACCAACCAAAGGAAGCACATTTACAAGTTGCACAAAGAATTGTCCAGTATTAAAAAGGGACTCCAGAAAGAGGAATTTTGTTCAAAAGAAATAAGAATGTCAATCTTGAGGCATATACAGATGTTGATTATGCAGGTTCAGTTGTGGATAAGAGGTCAATTACTGGATATTATACCTTTCTTGGTGGAAACCTAGTAACTTGGAAGAGCAAGAAACAAAGTGTGGTAGCTAGATTTAGTGTTCAAGTAGAATTTTGAGCAATGGCCCAAGGAATATGTGAATTTTTATGGCTGAAGAATATATTGGAAGACTTAAGGATCAAGTGGGATGAACCAATGAGGTTATATTGTGATAATAAATCCGCAATTAGTGTAGCACACAACCCAGTATAGCATGATAGAAGCAAACATATTGAGGTGGACAGACATTTTATCAACGAAAAGCTTGACAGTGGCTTGATTTGCACTCCATAAGATCAACTTGCAGACATACTCACCAAAGGACTGAGCAACAGTAATTTTGAAAGAATTATATCCGAGCTGGGAATGGAAAACACTTATTCACTAGCTTGAGAGGGAGTGTTAAAATATATGTTAGGAAACTTTAGATATTATTCCCATGTATTTAATTTGTTATATTTTTTGTATCCTTGCTATTATTACTAGAATAACAATCCCACAATTTTAGGCATTTCTTTCTTAGAATAGGCTGCTCATTCAATAAGCTCTTGGATATATATCAAATGCATGTAAGGAGACAAATAATAAAAAATATATTCTCTCTCCTAAATCCTAAATTTAGGAATTTCATTTGGGGTGAAACTGCATATGTCCACTTGCTCAGGAAATTTCATTCAACCTTTTCTTTTGTTCTAATAATAATTTTCTTTTATCCAAATAAGAATGCATAAATAATACATAAAGACCAAAAAACCTTTCCAAAAAAGATAAAAGCAAATGTAAAGTGAAGTTCGCTTACTCATAAAAGACACTCTTGGTTGCACTTGTATGAAAGCATAATGAGCATTCTAAAAGATATTTCAGTCAAAATGATTCAACTTACGCATCACTAAGAAGCATTGACTTTGAACCAAGTATGCCCATTACACGCAAATCAATGTTGAATTCTTCTTTTAGGATTGAGGCCTGCATTAAATGAACTACCAGGTAAATTTGTCACATATTTCAATTCTAGTTTGTTAACATGATAAATAAAGACACCCCACTTTAACAAATAAGATGAATGGTAGGCAGGGTATTCAACCTACATTATTGGGCTTTTATGTATGTATATATAAGATACAAAAGAAGAGGCAATACACTTGCCTAAACCCTAATCCTAAAGTCGGGTACACAAATGAGAAATTAAGGAATATAACATTACATTTCAACACTCCCCATCAAGGTAGAGCATATAGATCACATGCACTATAAATTAAATCTTTGGTCCTCTTAGAGATTTAGTTAGAATGTCTACGAGTTGTTCATTAGAGCGGACAAACTCACTAATAAAGTCCTTAGAAAACAACTTCTCTTTAACAAACTAACAATCGATACCTATATTTTTAGTTCCATCATGAATCACTAGATTGGAGGCAATATGAAGAGCTTCCTAGTTGTCACAATACACCTTCACCTGTTCATTTTCACAAAAATATAAAGTCTTAAAGATTTGTTTGTTTCTTATGTTTTCCAAGATACAAGGTTCCATCCAAGAAAGACATAGTATCCTATGGTAGATCTCCTGTCAATGGGACAATAAGCCAATATGCATCACAATACCCCAAGATTTGAGTATTGTTCTCAAACAACAATCCAAGTCCTAGGTTCCCTTCTACATATTTGATAACGTGAATCACAACATTTCAACGATCCATGTGAGGGTTTTGCATAAATTGACTCAACTCCCACTAGACAAGAAAGATCAGGTCTTGTTATATTGAGATAAATGAGTTTTCTAACCAACTTTCTATGTCTCTAGGTCTAAGAAAAGTTCACCTTCATCTATCGTTAATTTTTTTATTTGAGCCCATAGTACTATCAATTGGCTTGCAATTTGCAAGCTTGTCTCCTAAAATATCAAGAGCATATTTTCTTTTGATATGATGACATCATGGAGTATGCATTGAAGAGTAGTGTAGGAATTTAGGCCATTGTATTTGGCCGTGTAGTATAGGTTTGTTTAAGACTTGTACCAATGCCTAAGTAGCATAGGATTTTCTTTAAGTTAGTTATCCAAAGCAAGTGGAAAGTGTGTGTCATGTGTCATGCTTCCATTAGAGAAGATTTGCCTTTAGAAGTGGTCACATGGCACCCTAGGAGTGGAGAGGATTTATTTTGGGTAGTGGCCACATGTCTCTCCACCATTGGAGAGGATTTGCTTTTAGTAGTAGCCACATGGCACTCTAAGAATGGAGAGGATTGTGTTTTGTGAGTGACCATGTTATGTATCCGACTAGGAGACGTAATTAAACACGATCACAATAGGAAGAAAAGACAATGAACGAATGATAATTGGATGAATGAATCTCTTTTATTGATGGTAATATCTGAATAAACAAAAGTAAACAAAGATAACATGGAGCATAACCTCCCTCACAGGACTCTAGCTACCTGTTTAGAAACTCAATAATAAAAAGCATGCCCTCAACCATAGCATCTAGGCTGTATTTATATTACTTATTTCCCTAGAATATAGTTCTATTTACTATAATTAACTTATAGTGAATATTTCCCTAGGATATTGCTCTAATTACTGTAATTGACTTGTACTAAATATTTTCCTAAGATATAGCTCTAATTACTGTAATTATCTTATATTGAATATTTGCCTAGGATATAACTCTATTTACTATAATTACTAAATATTTCCCGTAATCCTAACTGTTGTCCCAGTTAGGATAGTAACTCTTCAATCGATCGGCTCATGGTCTTCACTGCTTCCCATCGCTCTGCTCGAGCTCTCACCGCCTTCGGCTGTTCGGCTTGACTCCTCCCCGTCTTTCACCGTTCACCTTACCTTTCCCCGCCTTCCACCATTTGGTATGTCCTCTCCACGCTCTCCACCATTCGGCTTGGTCTTCCTTCTTCCACCGTTCGGCCTTCTCCTTCTCTCCTATACCTTTTTCTCTCATATACCTTCTAACCCCTAATATTACCCACCGACTGATGATCAACCTTGTCCTCAAGGTTGAAATCTGGATATTGCTCTTTGATAGTTATTGCATCCTCCCAGGTTGCTCCATCCGGTCCCCCTTCTTGCCATTCTATTAACACTTGTTGCACCTCGTCCTCCCCTTGCTGGACCTGTCTCCTATCCAAAATTCTAATAGGCCAAAAACACATCCCCTCCCCTTGCAAGCCTGTTGGCAATTCCTTCTCCACCCTTCTTTCCCCTACTGCCTTCTTCAATTGGGATACATGGAACACTGGATGTATTCGTGCGGTATCGGGCAATTGGAGCCTAAAAGCCACCTCTCCGACCTTCTGTGTGACTTGGAAAGGCCCAAAATACTGAGAGGCTAGCTTAGGATGTAGTCTGGTCGGCATAGAAGTTTGTCTGTGCGGTCTGATCTTCAAGTACACCCAATTCCAATCTCTACATCTGTTGGTCTCCTTTTTTTGTTGGTTTGTTGCACCATCAGTTCTTGAGCACATGCTAAATGAAACTTTAGTTGTTTCAGCGCTTCGTCCCTTGTCTGCAGTTCTTGAGCACGTCCCTTCGTCCCTTTCAGTGCTTTAGTTGTTTCAGCGCTTCGTCCCTTTGTCCCTTGTCTGCAGTTCTTGAGCACGAGCTAAATGAAACTTTAGTTGTTTCAAGATGTTTCTATCCTCCAACAGGTCCTTCCTATTCCAATGGCTGAGTCAAATAGTTCCAACAGGCAGCTATCCGTCACTAGCCACTTCATGAATTGGATATCAAGAATGCCTTCCTACATGATGATCTTGAGGAAGAAGTATATATGGAGCAACCTCCTAGGTTTGTTGCTCAAGGGAGTTTGGTATGGTACGCAAACTGCGTCGATCTTTATATAGCCTCAAGCAATCACTACGTGCTTGGTTTGGAAAGTTTAGCTCCATTGTTGAAAAATTTGGGCTAAAACACACTGAAGCAGATCATTCGGTTTTTTACTGTCATTCTTCTCTTGGGAAATGTGTTTACTTAATAGTATATGTTGATGATATTGTCATTACAGAAAATGATGTTGGAATATCTCAACTGAAAGAGTACTTGTGTAGACATTTTCAAACTAAGGATCTTGGAAGTCTCAAATACTTCTTAGGCAATGAAGTAGCGCAATCAAAAGATGAAGTTGTAATCTCCCAAAGGAAGTATGCTCTTGATATATTACAAGAAACAGACATGATTGATTGTAGACCAGTAGATAGTCCCATGGACCCAAACCAAAAATTAAAGACAAAAGAAGGTGAATTATTCTCCAATCCAGAGAGGTATAGGAGGTTGGTTGGAAAACTGATTTATCTCACTATTACAAGGTCAGATTTATCCTTTGCAGTTGGAGTGGTTAGTCAATTCATGCAGGCTCCATGTATTGACCATTGGAATGCTCTCATTCACATTCTAAGATATGTCAAAAAGGCACCCAGGCAAGGATTGTTATATGAAGATAAAAGAAGCATTCAAGTCTATGGGTATTGTGATGCAGATTGGGCAGGTTCGCCTATTGATAAACGGTCTACTACAGGATATTGTGTTTTTCTGGGAGGAAACATTATTTCATGAAAAAGTAAGAAACAAAATGTAGTAGCTCGATCAACCGCTAAAGCAGAGTATAGGGCAATGGCGTTACTAACATGTGAACTTATATGGATGAAACAATTCCTTCAAGAGCTTAAATTTTGTGACATCCATACTATGAAGATGTATTGCGACAATCAAGCTGCTCTCCACATTGTATCAAATCCAGTGTTTCACGAGAGGACTAAACATATAGAAATTGATTGTCATTTTGTTCGTGAAAAATTGTTGACTAAAGAAATATATACTGAGTTTATTAGGTCAAACGATCAACTCGCAGATGTATTGACCAAGATATTAAGGGGCCCTCGAATTGAGTTTATTTGTTCCAAGCTTGGTACATACAATTTGTATGCTCCAGCTTGAGGGGGAGTGTTAGGATATTTATCCTATTTTATCATCATTATATTGTGGTTACCCTATTTATCATGATTATATTGTGTCAAGGGTTACCCTATTTATCATGATTATATTGTGTCTAGGGTTACTCTATTTATCATCTACTCTTGCATCAATTTATTCTTATAATAGAAGATTATGAGAGGAATAAATCAAGTCCACTAGAATTTTTTTACAGTTTAATTCTCAAGTAATAAACACTATTCTTTTATCATAGGCATTATTTTCCTTGAATTGAAGTGCAATTTTAAATTAAAAAAGCATTTAGTTAATCTCATACCTAGGACATTGGGTTCCTTTTTTAACCAAAATAATTATTCTAACATACAAAATTCTCTACAGAAACTGCACCTGATCCCTTAGCTGGTCAAGTAGTGTACTTCCAATTAGTCCAGGTCCAATAATGCCCATTGATATGGTGGTTCTTGAGAGATAAAATCTTGAATGGACAGCTCGCAAAGCCTTTATACAATCCTCTCGCTTCACAACAACAGTAATATTGTACTCAGAACAACCTTGTGCTATAGCACGGACATTTATATTGGCCTGTTCAAGAAAACAAGTTTGAACATTACACAAGTGAAAGGATATAATAAAATATGAAAAAATCTCAAACATAGGCAATATCTTTATCATAATTAACTAACCTTAGCCAATGCATTAAAAAGGGAGGCGCTAACTCCAGGGGTGCTTGCCATCTTCTGGCCAACTGCAGCTAGAATGCTACAATTTGGGATGATCGCAACCTGAGGAATGCTACAAGATTTAGAATGCCACAAAGTATTAAAATAAAAGGCTTTAAATTTCAACATCATTCAGTTAGGTATACAATTTTAAATGGTAGAAATTAAATTAATCCGCTCTCAAGTTTATACTTCATGATAATTAACAAACAAAAGATATAAGCACATAAATTAATGGGAGAAAAATTAAGCCTTCTATTTAACACAAATTTCAGATCCAACTATCTTATGAAGAAAATGAATGGAGCATATTCAAGAGGCTATACATCCCTTTTGATTGACAAACACATTATTGCCACACTTTCAATACAAAAAATCAGTATCCCTAACTTGAAAGAATTAATACAAAAGAAAGAAGATTATACTTGAAAGAATTAATACAAAAGAAAGAAGATTTTATTCAACTGATTCATTTGAAACAATACATCAACTTCTACATCTAGAGAACTCAAATCCTAAAGCAATAATTACATGAGATCTCTAGAATCTTCTAACAACTTCTAATAATACATTTAATATCCAACCAACAACTTTTAGTATTGCATTTAATATCCAACTAATAACACTCTTGTTAGGAACCAAGACAGATCACTCTCTTCTCACACAACTCTTAAACAACAGAAGATGAAAGTATATGTATGTATTTTATAGAAAATACATATCTCTGTAATGTATACAAAGAAGAAAATACATGTAAGTATCCCCACCCAAGGAATCTTCCCTTCCTTCACTGGAAAATATGTCCAATCTCTACTCAAAAGAAAATTATCTCCCTTCTCCTCAGCCAACTCGGCTTTATTTATACTCTCTCTCCCCCTAACAAACTAACCACCTTTCTCGCCTTTTAATTCCCTCCTCTTTTATTTCTTCTTACATCAACTTTTAACTTCCTAACATTACCCTCTTCCTCAACATCAACCTTGTAACTGCAACCTGAATGCTACTGGTCCTACTCGCTTTTCCACCAAGAATGGTCCATAATAACGTGCTGAGAGCTTGGGATGTAGTTTTGTAGGCATAGAAACTTGCCTATGGAGTCTGATTTTAAGGAAGACCCAATCCCCTTCCTTGATCTTGGCTTCCTTTCTTTTCTTATTAGCATAATGAGTCATCTGATCATGGGCCCTTGTGAGATGATACCGCAACTGTTTCAGTGCTTTGTCGCGGGTTTGCAGGTCCTGAGCGACTAATTATACTATTGTCTCGCCTGTTATGGTTGGTGTTGGCCCTCCTGTAACCGTGTTGGGAAATTCTGCTAGCAGTTTAGGCATCCACTCAGACTGGGCAGAGAGAACTAGTTTCCCTTTATAGTGTAACCTCCAGTTCTCCATTGTATATGCAGGATGAGAGTTTGGATCAGCCTTTAATTCCTCTATATTTTTTTTCAAACTAGCATCCCTTTACACCTCCTCCATCAAATCTTGAAACTCTGGCCAAATCGGTCTGGAGATAATTTGTAGAACTTTTTCTCCCTCCTCCAATTCCTCCCCTTTTCTTGAGAGCCCATCTGCCACCTTATTGGATGCCCCCTTCCTATATACAATATCAAATTCATATCCAAGCAGTTTAGCCAGACAATTATGTTGGTTTTGGGTAGTAATTCGTTGCTCCAACAAATACCCCAAACTCCTCTGGTCAGTATACAACCCGAATCTTTGGCCCAAAAGGTATGGGTGCTAGTGTTGGATGGCTAACACCAAAGCCATCAATTCCTTCTCATAAACTGATTTGGTGAGTGAAGCTTGTAATAAAGCCTTGCTAAAGTAAGCAATCGGTTTTCTATTCTGAGACAGAACTGCTCCTAAACCAGTGTCGGATGCATCGCATTCTACCTGGAATGTTTAGGAAAAATTAGGTGATGCCACCAATACTGGAGCAGTGGTTACTACTTTTTTTAGTCTCTACATGGCTTCTGCCCCTTTTGGAGATCATTCAAACTTCCCCTTTTTAAGCAGGTTTGTGAGAGGTCAAGCAATCTTCCCATAATCTCTGATGAATCTCCTGTAATATGCAGTCAGCCCCAAAAAAACCCTCAACTCCCTGATACTTTTGGACTCAGGCCATGTTATCACAGCAGAAATCTTCTCCTCATCCATCTCTACTCCTGCCTCTTAGATTTTGTGTCCCAAATATCGTATTTGCTCTCTCCCAAATTCACATTTTTTTTAGGTTTAATTGCTTCCTTTGTCCCCAGTTTGGTTGAATTGTGTCAAATTCATCCTCATTTTTTAAAAAGTTTCATTGTCGTCCTCACGTGGTATAAAAGTGTCAATTGAATCCAAACATAGAAAAAATTTGTGTCAAAGTAGTCATTTTTCCTATATCTCTGTGTCTTCCTTTCATATGTCACTTCTCTGGAGCTATGAAAAGCCTTAAATTGGATAAGGTAAAATGAATATCTGTACTTGATTGTATGAAAGGAAGACACAGATATATAGGAAAAATGACTACTTTGACACAAATTTTTTCTATGTTTGGATTCAATTGACACTTTTACACCACGTGAGGACGACAATGAAACTTTTACACCACGTGAGGATGACAATGAAACTTTTTAAAAAATGAGGATGAATTTGACACAATTCAACCAAACTGGGGACAAAGGAAGCAATTAAACCTTTTTTTTATTAGCAAATAGTTTCTGTTGTACAAGCAGCTCCAAAACTTGTTGTAAATGTTGCATATGTTCATCCCAAGACTTATTATATACTAATATATCATCAAAAAATACCAGCACGCACCTCCCTAAAAGCGGCCTTAGGACAGAATTCATCATATCTTGGAACGTGGCAGGGGCGTTTGTTAGCCCAAAAGGCATCACAAGAAATTCATAGTGCTCCTGGTGAGTTTTGAAGGTTGTCTTAGGAATGTCTTCTGTTAGGACATGGAGGGTTTATGAGACGAGAAAGGTGAGGAAGAGTACTTAACTGCTAAATAGTTAAGTGGGGAAGGAAAAAGGTCTTTATAAAAGGATCGCTTTTATTGTTTTCAGTTAGACAGTTTTGTACTTTGAGTTGTAGACCGGTTCAGACCTGGTAAAGGAGGTTAAGCTCCTAGATTTTCCCAGTTGTATTCTTGATTCTTTGATGTGAATACAGTCGATTCTTTACCATTTCTTGTTGTGAGTGTTACTGAAGTGTGCAAGTGAGGTAGAAAGTTAGGATACTTACCGGATTCCTAACTCTTCACTTTTTATCCTGATTTGATGATATCTAGCCTTTAAATCAATATTAGAAAAGTAAGTTGCCCCTTGTAACTCATCCAGCAATTCTTCTGTGAAAGTTTGAGAGATGGTAAAAATATTATTACTGTGGGTTAAAGTTTCTATTACACAGAAAAGTCCTATATAAGGAACAATGGACCAACACCTAAAAGCCAAAAACTAAAAGTCCAATTATACAATACAATATATTTCAACACTCCCCCTCAAGCTGGAGCATATAGATCATATGCACCAAGCTTGGAACATATACATTGAATCCTAGGCCCCCTTAGAGATTTGGTCATAATGTCTCCGAGTTGTTCATTAAAATTGACAAACTCAGTAACAAGTTCCTTAGTCAACAACTTCTCTCTAATAAAATGACAATCAATTTCTATATGTTTTGTTCTCTCATGAAACACTGGATTGGAGGCAATATGAAGGGCTGCTTGGTTGTCACAGTACAGTTTCAACGACTCATTTCCACAAAATTTCAACTCTTGGAGAAGTTGCTTGATCCACACAAGTTCGCATGTAGTCAAAGCCATAGATCGGTATTCAGCTTCAGCACTAGATCTAGCAACAACACTTTGTTTCTTACTTCTCCAAGATATAAGGTTCCCTCCAAGTAGAACACAATATCCTGTAGTAATCTTCGATCATTGGAGAACCAGCCCAATTCTGCATCACATATATCCTTCAATCTGAGTGCTTCCCTTTGTCCTCATACAACAATCCCTGTCCTGGATTTCCTTTTATGTATCTGAGAATTGTCGAATCACTGCATCCAATGGTCAACATGTGGATTCTGCACAATTGACTCAACAACTCCCACTAGATAAGAAAGATCAGGTCTTGTTATTGTAAGATATATGAGTTTTTCCACCACCTTCTTAATCTCCTTGGGATCTTGAGAGGTTTTCCCTTGATCTCCCTCATTTAGCCTTTTGATTTGAGCCATAGGACTATCAATAGGCCTTTGCAATTTGTCAAGCCTGTTTCCCTCTAAAATATAAGAGATATTTCCTTTGTGAAATGTGACCCTTCTTTGACTGTGCCACTTCCAATAACCAAGGACGTATTTTAGGAAGACGACGACCCAGATCCTTTAAGTCTAAGTGCTTGAACAAATGATTCTTTAATTGAGTAATTTTAGTGTTGTCATTCCCTGTAATAACAATATCATCAAAATACACCATGAGATAAACACATTTGTCAGGAGAAAAATGACCATAAAACACTGAGTGATCCGCCTCACATCGTTTCAATCCAAAATTTTGAACAACCCGCTAAATTTACCAAACCAAAACCAACAAGCACGAGGTGATGTTTCAAGCCATAGAGGGAACGGCGTCTTTACAACTAACCCCAGACTCTCCCCTCTGGCACAAACCAGGAGGTTCTCCATGTAATCTCTTCTCTTCCAGATGACCATGAAGAAAGGCATTTTTAATGTCCAACTGGTAAAGTGGCCAATGACGAATGGCAGCCATAGCAAGTAAAATATGAACTGTACTATTTTTAGCCACAGGAGAAAAGGTATCACAATAATCAATGCCATAAACTTGAGTATATCCCTTAGCTACTAGACGAGCTTTTAAACGATCAATTTCACCAGTAGGACCAACCTTAATAGCATAAATCCATCGGCAGCCAACAGGCTTCTTACCAGGAAGAAGAGGAACAAGGTCCCAATCCATGTGTGGTCAAGGCCTGCATTTCATCAACCATGGCTTGGACGCCATCCGGATGATCAAGTGCCTCATAAAGATTATAGGAGTCTTAAGGGGAGGATAAGGAGGAAACAAAGAGAAATAGGTAAGAAGACAAACGATGTAACTCTCAAAAATTATAAACAAGGATATGGATACGAGTAGAACGAATACCTTTTTCGAAGGGCATGGGCAAATTAAATCATCCTGAGTCGTAGAAACGAGGATGATGACTGATCATTTTCTTGTTCCTGGGTCTGATTGAGGAGGAGTGAATCTGAGGATCTCATTGTTCTGAGCTTGAGATTGTCTCCGACGATGATATGTGAGAAGATGTGGAGGAACAATGTCATTCATTCACATTTTGAGTTTGAGGTCATAGAGCCGGAATAACCAAGGGATCCACGATGGTAAAGGCAACATTTGTTGAAACAGATGAACGATCCTCCAAGAGGACGAGAAAAACGGTGTATCCTCAAGATGTGACTCAGCAGACAATAATATCTCTTGTGGAGGGAGAATAACAGTTATACCCTTTTCTGAAGACGAGAATTCCCAAAAGACAACTTACTAGCCTTTTGGCGGATAGCTTATTCTCAAGACCTGGAAACATTATGGACAAAACTGTACACCCAAAACACGTGGGAGATATGATATAGAGTGTCATTTGGAAAATTACAGAATGAGGAATTTTATTCTCAAGAGGACGAAGCATCCTATTGATTTAGAAAACGGTATGAGATTGCATCGCCCCAGTGATGTACAAGGAATATTAGTATTCAACATCAGGACGTGCAGTTTCAATGAGATGTGTCTATTCTCCTCTCGCAATACCATTTTGGGTTGTGGAGTGGTGAGTACATGTTGACTTATTGTAAAATTCCTTGGTCAAAGATAAAAATGGAAGAAAACGCTAAAGAAAATATTCCCTTATTCATTTCAACTACGAAGGATTTTAATTGTCTTCCCAAATTGGTTTTACTTTCATTATAAGGACACAAATATGGACAAAGTTTCAGATCTCTCTTCTTAAATACACCCAAGACAATCGTTAGAATTCATCATGAAGGTTACAAAATATTAAAACCAAAGAAGTAACACGACTTGGTCCCCAATCTATCAAGTGAATATTGAGAAAAGGAGAATTACCATAGTGTCTCAA